CTTTGCAAACGGTAAACGTTTTTTTGTCAACCATTGAAGTATGGACTGAATTCCTTATATGGCACTTTCCGTTTTTAATATCAATGTGTTTTATCATGATAACCTTGCTTTTTGATGAGGGATCTCATATAAATTCAGTGTTTTTTTTCACCAAAATATTCGGCGAAATTCTCCCTATTCCTCCCTCAAAATAGTATGTTTTTTTCCCCCCTCAAAGCTGAAATTTCCCCCTATAATATGGCAGCCCAAATCTGCCTGCAATGAATATCATTTTTTTGCAACTAACTGCCGAAAAATGCTTTATTTTATGCCTGTAAGACTTACTGTTAAGCAAGGTTTATCATATAGGTAAGGGGAGCTACTCCTGGTATCCCAACAAGTTTATCATGTGACACATCAATATTTTAGATCCGTATAAAAATCCCCCTCCTATTGCATTTTTCCCCCTCCAATGGGCACCGACCCCCTTCCCCCAAAAGTAAAAAAAAACACTGGAATTTATTTTCATTAAATTTTTCACACATAAACTTGGTCAGAAGAATTTTTTGCGGACGTACATAATGTTTTTTAATCATAGACAGTCAGGCGCCTAAGCCCCGCCCCCTTTTCAAAACTATGTACGTTGTAATGCGCATAGCAAGTAGATTCACTGATATTTCTGTGTCCAGGTAAGTGAGAAAAATAATCAACCATTGGGTTTGATAGAGGATAGGGAAATCCCAACCCTCGGGCTATCGGTTCCATCGGGAACTCGCCAAGGCTCGTTCCCGATGGAACCGATCACCCTCGGGTTGGGATTTCCCTATCCTCTATCAAACCCAATGATAGATTCTATTAATACAATGCATAATTTGCATGTAAGAAAGCAACATCTAAAAGTCAGAATGCAAGATGTACAAGTCAGAATGCAAGATGTACAAGTCAAAATGCAAGATGTACAAGTCAGAATGCAAGATGTACATGTACAAGTCAAAATGCAAGATGTACAAGTTAGAATGCAAGATGTACAAGTTAGAAAGCACGATGTAACGTAAGAAAGCAAGATGTAATTTTTGCGTTAATACCCTTCCATAATTATTTAAGGTTAAATGTTACCATGTCAAGGTCAAATGTTTGAATTTTGGTGGATTTTTGCTATAATTAGCAGGGCTTTTTTCCTTCTATAGTAGGGGCTGTTTATATATAGGGTTGCTTCCCCAAAGAAAATTCTGTAAAATTAAATCATGCAGTTTTCCCCCGAAAATTGAATTAACATGAAGTTTTTCTTCCACTTTTGCAAACATATGTGTATTTTTCCCAAGAAATTAAGGGCAGGGCTCTGCTTCCCCAACCTGTGAATAAAGGCCCTGATTGGCTCAGTTTGTAATTTATGAATGGTTTGTCTGCATAATTGAACTTAACAAAAGAACACTTAACATTGACATGTTAAATAATTCAGATATAACTTTGACCTCTAAATGACCTTGACTTTCAAGGTCCGAATATTGAATTTAGCTTAGGTTGTTATAACTTACACTTGGGCAAAAGAACCCTTATGACAAATCTGTATTTTGAATGATTCAAATTTGACCTTTACCTTTATTTGACCTTGACTATCAAGGCTTTGATTTATACTTGAACAAAGAACCTTTATGACAAATTCTTTATGTTGAATGATTCAAATGTGACCTTTATTAAAAAAAAATTTTGACCTTGGCCATTAAGATCAAATTAGCTTAATTTGCTTAAATTGTTGTAACTTTGTTATTTATTTTAGGATTTGATTTATACTTTTACAAAAGAACAAATACATTATGACAATTTAGTAGACATGTTGAATTATTTTGATATATGACCTTGTCAGACCTTTAAAGGGAGACACAGGCAAAATTTTAATTTCTTTGTTTTGAAATTTTCCTTCATTTTCCTGTAATTGTCCTCAAAATGAATACACTGGGTAGTGAAAGGACAGTGATTTTCCTGCTTATATAACAGACTCCGATAAAGGGCCACTTTCCAATTGAAATTTTCCTTCAAAAAATCATGCAGTTTTCCCAGAAATCTGTACTTGAATCTGCTTTTTTACTTCCCAAAGATTGTTACCCAGAGAGTGTCTTTCAGTCTGTCTGTCTGTCTGTTCCTAAAAACTGTTTCCTGAGATCACTTTAAAAAAAATGGAACTTTTTCAACATGTTTAACTTAAACTAGAGAAAAGTTGAAACATTGGTATATACATATTTATCCTGAGAAAGTCGGATCTTTTGATTATCTGTTGTAACATAGTTTTCTTTATACAAGGCAGGCAATCTTAACACATTACTATGATACAGACAAACTAAGATTCATTCAGTGGCATAATTGAATGACCAATGGCCCTTCATAATGTAACGCTGGGGTTTTAACCGGTAGGGGACTTATGGATTGCTTACAATACTATGATTATTGCTTATTTGATATGGAATTTTGTATTTAGTCTTAATAATAATAAGATTGGTTATATTGTAAGATCATGTGGTGCAATGGATTATAACATTTTATTATGTGTGAAATAATATTTAATATTCATATATTATGAACTATTTCATTATCTATTGAAGATGATACAGTGAATTGTTCTGTTTCTTTTAAGTTTAAAGTGGCATACATCTTTCTGTTCATATCTTAAAAATATGACCTCACTCTAAAATGATAATGTTAGTCATCAAAATAAATATCCTAGACTTTTTCCTTTGACATTGTAAGATTCTTTTGATAATTCTGTGAAATATTGTTCAAACTACATGTACTGTAGATATTGTGACTAAAATTTATATTACACTAATTGTTCTATCTAAGTTCTAACACAATCAATAGCATTTTCATTGTGTTTTAAACGGACTGGGCCAATAAGTTGGTGCATGTATATATAAAAATCAGTGAGAAATAATTGTGAAAGATTACCAAAAGTTAGTTTGTTGCTCATAACATGCAGTAATGGAATTTACCTGACTTAACTTTGTTATTATTATGAAGCCACTGTAATGCTTAAACAGTTCATTAATAATTATGATATAATTTTATATAACTCAGCAGGGTTTATTTTTGTTAATTTGTGTAGAAAAATCATTTAGATATTATAATATAAACAGCTGGCAGCATTAGAACTGTTTTAATAGTCATCTATTATGATCCCCTTTGTATATATCTCCATAAAAGGCATAACATGTTGAATAGTTCTAATGGATTTGCGAACCTGCCAAATTACAAACTATTGATCAGTGGTTAGTTTATGAGGAATTATAGCCGTCTTTGTGGCGAGTTATCTATTGTAGGTCAAGAATACCTTGCCAGTTTTATCAGTCCAATTGCTTATTAGGAATATCAATGGAATTAGATTTTTGATCGTTTGTGTCAGTTTTTTCATAAATTAATACATCAAAAAAATTGGAATATCATTATCGTCAGACTAAGTTTTTGAAAATTCATTGATCAATTTTTATTTTTTTGTTTTGCTTCTATTATAAGAGATTATCGATTATTGTGATATTAATGTTAAGCAATTTTTTTTATTGTGTGTGTTTGACTTTTAATGTAGTTGGAGCAACCATAATATGTGCACCTTCATTTGTGCTGTATTTAGATATAAATCAGTTATTAAAGTGTTCCACAGTCATAACCTTGTTACAGACAGTAGAGAATGATAATGTATGAAGTGATACTATCTAAAAAGGATATTTACTTAAATTGTTGCTGCTCTGGTTAAAAGAAACATAAGTAATATTTATGTGATAAAATCAGAATATAAATGGTAAACATTTTTATTTTATTTCCAATAATCATGAGAAAGTAATTTATGTTAAATCATATGAAACTCAGTTAATTAGCCTTGAAATATAGAATTTGATAAAATTGTATTGGATTTGAAACACAACAATTATTTGATTTACACAAATAAGAAAATAAAACAACAGACTTGGAATCCATGTATTAAGTACAGTAGTAATGGAGTTATGTTGATTGAGTATGGCTGACTTAAATTTATATGTTATAACACTTATCCCCCCCCTCCCTTTGTGACAGTTCAGCGGAATACCTTTTTCAAAACTTAATCATACATATTATATAATAGACATTTTCTATTGAAATTGAAACTTGTCATTCTCAGTATAGGTTCAAACTCATTGCATTATGCAGAATGTCCTGACTATTGTTAGTTCTGATATTTCTATTACTTATGAATGTAAGGCACTAAAGGTTTCACATGAACATGAATTAATAATAACTTCTGTATGTGGTAGTGTGCACAGAACAATATGTACTGAGACAAATGTTTGAGGTCAATGAGGTGATTATCAATTTAAGGTTTAATTTCACATTTTATAGGCTAAATTTTCCTTTTATATCCCTGTATGTTATTAGTGGTATCATATTTTCTGTGTAAACATTGTATATTTGTCATATACTTCAAAATATCTCGGCCAATATTGACTTGGTACATAATGTAAAAGAACGTTTGAATAGGATATCATTTGATGTTACTTCTAAAGATGAAATAAATGCATTGAATGTATGAAAAGCTTGTTATTAGAATAAAAAAAAGAGTTAATATAGAAGTGGAATATATCAATAAGTGTTAATCATATGGATGTTGGTTAAGGATATAGAGTGCTTTTACATTGTAAATACAATTTAGATGCCTATTAGATAGATGGCGAGCTTTTGTTAAGATTTAATTTGTAAAGGAAATTTAACAATTTAACTGTAAGTACAGACTTTAAGCTGGTGAATTAACTACATAATAAGTTATATTGGTAAATGCGGCATTCAAAAGGTTAACTGAATCAAATTTTAAAAGCGGACAGTGAGCACATGTACTTTTAAGTTTTTTTTCAATCAAGAACTTTAAGTTTGCACATTAAAATAAATGTATAAATGTAAAGGATGATGTCGGGAGATGATGATGATCTTTAAGTTAGAATGTCAAGGAGATTCATCGTGACATTTTGTTTTAAAACATTTTGTTTATTTTTTTTATTTTTCAGGTCTGACCTAAAAAATATTAACAATTCAATATTAGAAGAAAAGACAAAAGAGAACTTAAGAATGTCACAGACTAACATACCGCCAGATTCCTGACATCTACTTCAAACAAAGTTCTTGCAGCTAGTTTAATATTTATCACCAAAAAAAAAAGAGAAAAAAGTCTGAAACGCTCAAAATGATGATGTTCTAAAGGAGACATGATTACATGATCAAATAAAAAGGGTTAGTGGGAAAGATCATAAAATGGATTCCGATGGAATCTACGAGGAAACGTACGAAGATGAATACGCTGATGATGAGATGCCGGATGATAATGAAGATACGGTCGTGTTAAGCGATAGTTCAGACTCGGAGGAAAGCGAACCAGAAGACTCAGGATTTAGTAACAATGAAAATGGTGGTTCGCAAGAGTTGACGTTACTAGACGAGGGGCCATCAGTGTTGATACAGCCGTCAATACTTGATGACGAGGATGAAGGGGAAGATGGTAAGTGAACGTGTTGTTTATGTTGTATAGTACATGTACATTTATCTAATACTGGTGAAAAATTTTGGCACAAATATTTCATCGGACTTTCTGTGATCAGTCTAAGAGATAAGTGTAAAAAATAAATGAAGAAACAGCAAAAATACTAAATCAGTATGCTGTTTGCCAATTAGATAAATATATTAATCTTTGGAATTTTAATTGCAATGATAGTTGGGTGGAATAGTCTTATAGTATGTATGTATGTATGTATTACTATTAACCTGTGTTTAAATACAGTACATTTCAAGACAGAAATTTTGACTCATTTGGAAACTTATGATTTGTAATTTGTAATGCAATGTATGCTGGTATAAATTCTATAACCCTTTTTCACATGTATTATAAATCTAAAGTAAAACTTATTAATTCTCTTTTTCAATGTTTAAAAATTGTAATGAATAATTTATTAATCTTTTCCATTGCCTATCAAAACAAGCATTATTTTTCTATGATCTACTTCACAATAATAAATTATAGCAATTTCTTCAGCTTGAATGTTTGGGATATTCAGTTTGATTTTTCAGAAATAATTACCATAGCATTTTTTCACATCATTTAACTCTCATTTTGTTTTCATGAATGAAAAAATTTGTAGATGAAGGAACTTCTTTAAGTATGCCACAATCCATACATTTGCCTCCCCTTGATTTGCTGGCAGACGTCACTGCAGAAGCTCGTTTAATGATGTCATCCAAAGGTGACATTTGTAGGCAGGGATTAAGTCTTAGAAATTAGCTGTTTGTTTTTCTCAGGATAGTTTGGGTCTCAGGATAGCTCAGGGGTTGGGGGTTAGAAAACGTATTTTCTCTCAAAGCATACAAAAGTGGATATTGGAATAGAATACCACAAGTCTTGGCTATTTGTTGACATGCATGGTAGAAAAGCCAGGGGGAAAAAGTAATATTGTGAAATATTATCATATTTTCAAGTAAATAGTATACATATACTTATATTAAAGTGCAAAAATTAAGTGGAATACATTGGTGTAAAGCAGCCTTTGTTTTGAAATATTTAGTTTTGCATAGATAAATTTGTATTTTAGTTGTTAGTTGTATGTATATTTTAGAATTATTTAGATTGACCAAATTGTTCAGATGCTTAAAAAAAAGTAAAATGGGAGTGAATTTTAATTTAAAAAAAAAAACTTGTTTGATTTCACTTATTAATACAAATTAGACTTATATTAAAGCAGTTAGTTGTGTATATATGTGACTATTGGAAATGAAACATACACAGTTTCCAGTCCATGATTCTTTAAGACCCAGATGAATTAAATTTTATGCTAATTTCAAAGACTGAAATATTTCCATTATTTTCAATATTCAGATTTATTCAATTCTTTTGTATCCATTCATTTTCATTCTCTGGCATACTAATTAATAAATACCTCAGCACTGACGTTTCTCATTATTCTATTTGAATGGCAATGTTTGCCTTGCCTCATTAAATAAAGATGCCTAATGTCCCCAGGCTAGCATAATGCAGTGACTTAAGTATGAACACTAAACAATATTTTCATGTTTATTGACATCACTCAATGTAAAAAGATTGTCATCATTCATGTGATGATTTATTCATCAAATGATTCAATCGTCAAACAAATGATAGAGGAGAGCTACAGGGAGATATGATTGCATGCCAGGCCACTCACAGTCACCTGCTATGGAAGAACTTTAACAAGTAAAAAAAATATGAGTGGCGTCACGACAAAACCAACATAGTGGGTTTGCGACCAGCATGGATCCAGACCAGCCTGCACATCCGGGCAGTCTGATCCGGAACCATGCTGTTGGCTTACCAACTCTATTACAAGTACAGAAACTGATAGCAAACAGCATGGATCCTGATCAGACTGCGCGGATGTGCAGGCTGGTCTGGATCCATGCTGGTCGCAAACGCATAACGTTGGTTTTGTCGTGACGCGGCTCATATATATAAAAAAAACACCATAAAACAACAGAAGAATGAATGAATAAAAACCATCAAATGAGTGAATCATTCAAATCATGAAATGAGAAAAATCAATGCTGAAAATGTTTAATACTTTGACTAACAAATTGATAGATCTAGTATTTTTATGTTACAGTACACTTTACTATATTTGAGCTGTGATGTTGGTTACACTACTTTTTATTTTTTCTGCCTATCTTCCTAAGTTAAATAGCTTTGTAATTTATTATCAGTTTTTCTTTCAGTAAATTGATATTGATGCATTTTATTACAGACAATTTAAGGTTTTTCAATTTGTCTATATTGAAAAAATTCTATATCACAAGATACGGAGAATTTACAAAATTTAATGTAACACAACTTTTTATGTTCAATTTAAAAGTTAGGCTGTTTTATGTTACTTTCTTGTTGAACTAACATTTTGCCTAACCGTTTGTAAAGCTTTGTACCAAAAATTATTTTCCCCCCTTTATTTTGCCCTGTAGAAGATTTCAACTTTTTTCTGTTGTATTTTCTTTTTCTTTTTTCTTTGATCTACTAATACATTTTTCAAATTTACTACTTGTGTATGGAAAGAATAACATAAATTTAGACAGTAACTAAATGGAACAAAAGTAATTCTTATAGCTATCAGAAGGTAAAGTAGAGTGAATGTGAAATACATTTTGTATAAAGTATAGCAGGAGAATGCATACTTTGAGTTGCCACATGTTATTTGATCAGTTCTCTGATCAGTTCTCTGAATGACATTCAAGGTTGGATATAAAAGTAAAAACCCGATTGTCTATTTCTTATATGTAGCTGAAATAGGCTGTCACAATTAAGAGGGTATAATGGCCTAGAAGTGTTCAACGCAACCAGGCCTGCATTATAATTTGATCCTTTAGATCAATGCCATGTTTCATTTAAGCTTCACTATTTTTGTACGACCTTGACTACTAAAACATTGTGTTACTACTTTTACAATAAATTCTAAAACAAAATTATGTTACATGTACCTTGTATTTATAGATACTTGAATTAACCCCCCTTTCCTTTAAAGTTGTTACGAATTTACTTGTTTATGATGTAGAAATATTGTATTACTATTTTTAGATACTGGTATCAGTACACAAGCCGAGGAAGAAGGCGAGGGTGAAGGTGACGATGATGCTGTCACAACTGAGTCATCTAAAGATCTCATAATAGAACAAGAAGATAAAAAGGAAATAGAAAAGAAAATACCAAAGAAAAAGAAGAAAAAGAAAAAGTAAGGATTGTTTTGCAATAATCAGAGTTCCTGAAGATGATATGAAAATAATATATTAGAATTATTTGCAGAATATGTACTACAATACCTACAGTGATTTAAGGTGCTTGCAAAGAGTGATAAATTAATAGTAAAAAGTAAGTAGTAGCCAATTATAATGCATTGACAACTTACATGTAGCAATGTTAGGTGATAAATTATATAATTATTATTTAATATCAAATAATTTTAATCAATATAAATGGCGTGTTGGTCAAACAAACCCCTAAAATCAATCTTTATTCCATGTATTTTATTAATTTCAAGTTTTGAAGCATATTTTTTTTTTATTAAATTAGAGTGCCAAATGTCAATTGAAGAGGGAAAGGGTCAATGTTAGTCCATAAAATAAGTAAACATTAATAAAACTGCAGCATTTTGTCATCAACGAAGCACTTGTCCATAGTGATGATAAAAAATCAAAAGTACCTTAAATGAAAGAATTATGTTTGTAAATTTCAAATATACTGACAAACATGTGTAATTTTATCAATAAATCCCATTTAAGTATTGGTAGGAAATGTTTTATCCTTACTAGTTATAAAGCTATATTGGACTGTTGAACTTATCTAAAATTCCTTTTTGAAAATGATACAGCATATTTATTATTAATTTTTGTCTGATGCATAAAGCCTTTAATAAATCCTTTAAAATGATTGATCAGTGTTTTTCAGTTTTTCATTTACTTCAATAATGTAGAATTTTTGTGTTAAGTAAATTTTAAATGATTTGCAAGTTATGTAGATATGTGACTTTACACTGTAAAGCATGATTGTTTAAAATCGTTTATTGAAGTAAATCAGAGCTGTTAAATGGACAAGTTTAAGCGTTAAATTACTTGTACATAATATTTGTTCATCTGTTAAGCAGTGTTAAATCATTTTTATCACCGTTTAAAGGCATAAAAAACTACAATACTATTGTGAATTGGTATTTAATGTTACAACATTTAAACATTGGTAAATTATAATCGGCATAAAAGGTTTTGTAGTACTGGTTCATTAGAGCGTTGAGATTTGTAACCCCTCTAGTCCGCTAAGTTTTTATGTTTCCCGGTTTAATCACAATATTTCTTATATATTTTCATAGATAACATATTATTCCATTGAATGGCTTTTGTCAGGAGGCATGTATCAATTGATTGGGTGATTTGTTGACAGTAACACAATATGATTGTTAAAGATACTCGATGGAATGTTAAAGTTTTGAAAAACGGTCCTTTAAAACATGATTTAAGTAGATTTTAATTTAATCGTATTAATACTCCTTGACTGGATTGAACAAGTAATTATTCCTGCATTAAAGTTAGGCTTTAAAGTGATTACTGAATGAAATGATTTGTCTTGTATAATTATAAGCAAGTTTGTTTTGAACAAATATACTTCTGCTTTTTTCTTTGCCTTCGAAAATTACATAAAATATGTGATATTTTAAGCCTTCTTAACTGGCCTGTTGAATTGTTTTTCTAAAACTTATTTTGTTAAAGCTGTCCTTGATTCATTACTTTTAAATTCTGAGTAAAAACGAAATAAAAAAGAAGTAATTTTACAGTTCATCATAAAGCCTTTCACCATTACCTCACCCCCATGCAACTGCTGATTTATGAAATTGTTCGTATTTTAGAGCCATTGATCATTAATTTCCATAATTTAATGTCAAATTTTTAAACTGACCTGTCAAATTATGTCAGATTTCACACACATGCCCAAAGATACTCATTTTATAGTGGTATGTATAGGTCTGTGAAGAGGTTGTCTTAAAGAATTAACTTAAAGTTTAATATTAAGTATTTAAGTAAGTAAATACATATTTTGTCATTCAAAATTGACCTTATTAGTTTCAGGCCTGCTTTTGCTGTTTTGTTAAAGAATTTTAGCAAATCTGAATGGTTATTTAGTATTTTTAATTGTAAAATGTTTTTATTAAAATGAATTTTCTTAAAAAAATGAAGTCTGTTATATTCCCTGGTATAAAATGTCCTCTTTTTAGAAAGGTTATTAAGCTTTAAATAATAGAAAATCAAAGTTATTTCCTCAGGGTTGTATTATTAATTGAGGTTTCCCCCTCTTCAGAGCTTTTAGAGAGCAATAAAGGGTGCATTGAAAATGCAAATAGTTTAAATCTGTAGTTCCAGGAGGGTTGGGGAAGGAGAGTTGGGAGGGAGTCAGGACAAAGCTGTTTAATTTTGTGAACTGAAATTGTATATCTCATTCAGAATGAATCAACATCCTCAAGTGACATATATACTATAATTATATCAATTTATTAAATGAAATTTTCTCTTTAAGTGCTGATCAACATGAAAACATTCATTTTACATAATTTGTTTATGAAAGAGTTGTAAGGTTTACTTAATGGTTTATAGTAAGTGATATTTCATTAGACAAAACAAAATACAATGATAAGTGTAAAAATTATTGTTAGTAGTAATTATAAAAATCTACAGCCATGATAAGTACAGTGCATGATTTGTATGCTATTTAAACTATACATCTTAAGTTGTAAATATTGCAAGTTTGTGGTTACAACCTTCTTATCAAGGAGTTATGCTATGATAAATTATAAAAGCAAGATTTAAAATTAAGCTTTTTATAAGGTTTTGACTTGGCACAGAGATAATGTTACAATGATTGATTTAATCAATGAAAGGTGAATTACTAGAGGGGGTTTCCTGCCAATATATACAAGTCATTTATGATAGTGTCAGGTGTGGTGAAATGTTTATTAAGTAAACATAATTGTGGCTTTGTTTACCCTACTTTATATAGCTGATAGTAAAATATGCAGGTTAACCAGACAGTTACTGGTCTAAGTGCCTTTTGAAATTGTATTTGACTACTGAATAATAAAGATTAGCAATATGTACTTCTTTTTTCTTTTTTTTATTAATAATAAAAATCAATCATTCAGGTGGCATTTTGAAATATAAAATGATATTTGCATGTAGTCAATTAACAGAAATAGATTTATAAGATACCATATTTCTCCTAAAACATGTACATGTATAAGCACATTCCAGTTTTTATAATATTATTTTTTTAGCACCCCAAATGGTAAAGCCAGATGTAATTACCTCCCTATTATGTATCTACCATGATAAAAGTTTTTGTTCTGCACTTGTCAACATAAGATTGTTGTGATCAATTTCAAAAAGAAAAAGAAAATTGGGTCTCAAATAAAATCATCATAGACACCATGAGATGAAATAAGGTTTATCTGCTTTACATTCTTTTGAACAATATCTCAGCTTCTTAATATTTAGAATTTTGTTAATATGGTGAAACAAACAAATTCCTAACATGAAAGGAAGGGCACTGTTGAGTATTTGACATCTGCTTTAAGTACTGGTATTTTACAATTTAAATAATGTTTTCTTATATAAGTTTAATATCATTCAGTTTGTTTAAGTCTGACTAATTTTTTCCTGTTCTCTTTGTTTCAGATGGTTCTACATATGTCTTTCAAACTGTAAATATGATGTTGGTGAGTATGTTTTGCTACTTGAATTTTATTATCCAATCAGACCCCACCTTCATTTTCATTCTGACATGAACAACCATATAAAAATTTGTAGTTTTATCTGGGTTTGTACGCAAAACAAAAATCTCGATCATTTATTCTCACTACAAAATTTGAAAATACATGATTAAAATAGCATTCAGGTTCATGATTTCTGTATGCATGCATGAACTATTGTCTTTTTTCTAAGTGAATTTTCAACCTAAAATTGTCTACTTAAAGTCTGTCTAAATCCTTTGAAAATCAGTGAACTTGAAACAAGAGCTGGTTAAGTATTAGCCAAATTATGAGTATTATTAAACTCCCTTTTGGAATTAGAACTGAGGCACTTCTCTGCCTTTGAGAAAGGACCTATTTATTAGTAATGTGTCTACTGAAGAATAAAAAATATTTTGACTTAGGGCTTTTTTACATCTACATTAGGAGCTCTGTAAGGGTGGCTTCCTCAAAGAAAAATTCTTTTAAATCGTGCAGTTTTTCCCAAAATTGGAAGTTTTTTCGTCCCCTTTTGCAAATATACTGTATAATTTTCAAAAAAAAAATCAAGGGCAGGGTTGCTTCCCCAACCTGTTAAAAAAAAGCCCTGTGACCATACAGTATTATATCCCCTGCATCAGATGTAAGTTCCATGTTGAAAAGTTAACTGATACTTACTATATACTTAGTGACTTTAAGTGAATCCAGTCATTTGAATGGCCACCGGGTAAAATTGACCGAGTTGTTGTCTTTAGAGTGTTTAACAAACAAAATAATTCTAACATTGATAATGATTCATAATTGTTAATAGAATTGACATTTAGTTCAGCAATATTGGTGCTGTTTTTCTTTACTTTAAAGAAATTGTCTTGTGAACATGCCAAAGAAATGATTGAATAAGCACAAAAGATAAGATGTAATCACAAGCTCTACATTGCCCAAATATTTACTAGTGACATGTTTACCAGTCACTTGTTTACAAAGGACATGAAAATGTTAACACATAAGTTGATTGATGTCACATCTATTATCTGGCAGAACCTTTGTGTCAAGGTTATGTTATGTATATTTGTTTGATTAATAAAGCAATTGAAATTTGGCCAATACATAATTTGCTTTCGAAAAATTTATATTTTTTAATATTATTTTTTTAACTGTCTGTTATTATTATTATTAATTTATTATTATTATTATTATTATTATATGCCCGAAAGAATTTCGGGCATATTATGTTATACCCCCTGGCGTCGGTCCGTCTGTCTGTCTATCCGTACGTCCGTCCGTCCGTTAGCAATTTGGTTTCCGGAGCATAACTTAAGTTCCATTTGGCCCACAACATTCAAACTTCATAGGATGATTGTCCATATTGGGTAGAAGACCCCTATTGATTTTGGGGTCACAAGGTCAAAGGTCAAGGTCACTATTACCTTAAAACTGAAAACAGTTTCCGGAGCATAACTTAAGTTTCATTTGGCCCACAATATTCAAACTTCATAGGAAGATTGTCCATATTGGGTATGAGACCCCTATTGATTTTGTGGTTACATGGTCAAAGGTCAAGGTCACTATTACTTTAAAACTGAAAACAGTTTCCGGAGCATAACTTAATTTCTATTTGGCCCACATATTCAAACTTCATAGGATGATTGTCCATATTGGGTAGAATACCCCTATTGATTTTTAGGTCACATGGTCAAAGGTCAAGGTCACTATTACTTTAAAACTGAAGTTTCCGGAGCATAACTGAATTTCTATTGGGCTCACAATATTCAAACTTCATAGGAAGATTGTCCATATTGGGTAGGAGACCCCTATTGATTTTGTGGTCACATGGTCAAAGGTCAAGGTCACTATTACTTTAAAACTGAAAACAGTTTCCGGAGCATAACTTAATTTCTATTTGGCCCACAATATTCAAACTTCATAGGATGATTGTCCATATTGTGTAGAAGACCCCTATTGATTTTGGGGTCACAAGGTCAAAGGTCAAGGTCACTTTTACCTTAAAACTGAAAACAGTTTCCGGAGCATAACTTAAGTTTCATGTGGCCCACAGTGTTCAAACTTCATAGGATGAATGTCCATATTGGGTTGGAGACCCCTATTGATTTTGGGGTCACAAGGTCAAAGTCACTATTACCTTAAAACTGAAAACAGTTTCCGGAGCATAACTTAAGTTCCATTTGGCCCACAATATTCAAACTTCATAGGAAGATTGTCCATATTGGGTAGGAGACCCCTATTGATTTTGTGGTCACATGGTCAAAGGTCAAGGTCACTATTACTTTAAAACTGAAAACAGTTTCCGGAGCATAACTTAATTTCTATTTGGCCCACAATATTCAAACTTCATAGGATGATTGTCCATATTGGGTAGAATACCCCTATTGATTTTGGGGTCACATGGTCAAAGGTCAAGGTCACTATTACTTTAAAACTGAAGTTTCCGGAGCATAACTTAATTTCTATTTGGCTCACAATATACCAACTTTATAGGAGGATTGCTTTTGGAAGGAGGTAATACTTTATTTAATTTATGTAATGTCTTACCAATGCTTCATCCTTAATATAAAAAACACTTTCGGGCAAATAATGCTCCGCCTAGCGGTGCTCTTGTTATTATTATTATTACTATTATTATTATTATTATAAGGACGTAAGATGATTTAAAATCCAATCTAAACAGCAATTTAGAAAGTTTTTTAATTTTATTTCAGTTCGTAAAGTGTCACGCAAGTTTGGTTTTAAAGAAGTCTCAGATGATGATGACTGGACACTTTACTGGACGGATTATTCTGTGGCCCTGGAAAGGGTCATGGATATGAAAAAATACCAGGTAACTTCACTTTACCAAGATAAAGCTCCGATGTTCTCTTTTAATGCACAATAACTAGTCATTTTCTCTCTTATTTTTCTCCAAAAAGAGAGATGAAAATATTTTTACCCATATATCTATGAAACTTGTCAATGTGAATTTGCAGTCGTTTTTTTATGTTATCCCTTGTAATTTAAATGAATTATGATTACATATTTTACCTGTATCACAATGACCCACAATTAATACGGTCTTTGAAGTATTCAGTATTTATGTTTGGAATTATAATTGAGATTTCTTTTATGTGTAAATTGAAACATTTTTAAAGACTTCAAGGTAACTGTATAACAGGTGCTCAATTACCTCTCCAAGGTCTTTATGTTTAGTTCAAGTAAGTCACTTACATTTAATGTAACACTTGTTCAACCCTTGAAATTTTAGTGGCAATAATTGCTTAAACATTTAAGTGCAGTCTAAACACACATAGAAACCAGCTCAATTTAGTAAAGTTGGACTCTGAAAAAAAATTATTCCCAACTTAAATTTTGTTATGAACAAATTAAAAATAATACATGTCCATTGTAGCTTAAAGTTAAACATTTCTTTTTTGTGATGGAAGCAATTCATTGCTTCTGAAAAATTCTATTTTCTTTTTATTAGCTCACCTGTCACAAAGTGACAGGGTGAGCTTTTGTGATCGCTTTTCGTCCGGCGTCCGGCCGGCGTCCGTCCGGCGTCCGTCCGTAAACTTTTACTTTAAATGACATCTCCTCATAAACCACTAAGCCAATTTCATCCAAACTTCACAGGAATGTTCCTTTGGTGGTCACCTTTAAAAATTGTTCAAAGAATTTAATTCCATGCAGAACTCTGGTTGCCATGGCAACCGAAAGAAAAAACTTTAAATATCTTCTTTTAAAAAACCATAAGAGCTAGACCTAAGATATTTGGAATGAAACATGTTCTAATGGGTGTCTACCAAGTTTGTTCAAATAAAAGCCCTGGGGTCAAAATTGGCCCCGCCCCGGGGGGTCATTGATTTTCCCTATATGCATATAGTAAAAACTTAAAAAATCTTCTTTTAAAGAACCCAAAGAGCTAGAGCTAAGATATTTAGCATGAAACATGTTCTAATGGGTGTCTACCAAGTTTGTTAAAAACAAAGCCCTGGGATCAAAATTGGCCCCGCCCCGGGGGTCATTGATTTTCCCTATATGCATATAGTAAAAACTTAAAAAATCTTCTTTTAAAGAACTCAAAGAGCTATGGCTAAGATATTGAGCATCAAACATGTTCTAATAGGTGTCTACCAAGTTTGTTCAAATAAAAGCCCTAGGGTCAAAATTGGCCCCGCCCCGGGGGTCATTGATTTTCCCTATATGCATATAGTAAAAACTTAAAAAATCTTCTTTTAAAGAATTCAAAGAGCTATGGCTAAGATATTTATCATCAAACATGTTCTAATAGGTGTCTACCAAGTTTGTTCAAAAAAAAGCCCTGAGGTCAAAATTGGCACCGCCCCGGGGGTCATTGATTTTCCTTATATGTGTATAGCAAAAACTTAAAAAATCTTCTTTGAAAAAACCCAAATAGCTAGAGTTAAGATATTAAGCATGAAACATCTTTTAGTGAGTGTCTACAAAGTTTGTTCAAATAAAAGACCTGGGATCAAAATTGGCCCCGCCCCGGGGGTCATTGATTTTCTTTATATGTGTATAGCAAAAACTTAAAATCTTCTTTGAAAAAACCCAAATAGCTAGAGTTTAGATATTAAGCATGAAACATCTTCTAGTAAGTGTCTACAAAGTTTGTTCAAATAAAAGCCCTGGGGTCAAAACTGGCCCGGCCCCAGTGGTGTCATTGTTTTTAACTATATGTGTATAGTAAAAACTTTAAAAAAATCTTCTTTTAAAAAGCCCAATGAGCTAGAGCTTAGATGTTTAGCATGAAACATCTTCTTATGGGTGTCTACCAAGTTTGTGCAAATAAAAGCCCTTGGGTTAAATGGCCCTGCAACGTTGGGGGGTGGGGGTTGGGTGGGCCTATATACAGGTGAGCGACCTCAGGGCCATCATGGCCCTCTTGTTTTGAGTACATTTATATGGCCTGAAATTTTATGCATGCATTGACTGTATTTAAGTCATTATGGCATTGTATTCTAAATGATGATCTGGGTGACTTAGTGGTTAGATTCACTGACTTTAAAACTTCTTATCACCTGTCTCTCACAGTTATCACCTGCCTCTCACACTATGGGTTCAAATCCCGCCAAAGACTATAAATTCCTTCATGAATGGAAGCTATTCAGCCTGCTTATGGATTATATTGGTAATGCTACTTAAAGGGGCAGCTAAGGTCTTGCCCAACCATTTCAGATGAAAATATGCCATATAACTGTAACAGTGTTTATTTGACTTAAAACTTGATCAAAATTGATAATTATCTAATCAGTTATGTTGCCATACAAGTAAAATGTGTTCATACAAGTGACAGCAATTGTTGTTCCCTTTCCGCTTAACCAATGACACATTTCTTACAAAACGTTTGAAATATTTAATGACTGTGACTTCTTCATTGAGAAAAGTGTTTGTGGTGTACTCCAGGTCAAGTAGATATCTAATTAATCTTTTTTGTATATTTTTTCACAGAAAATCAATCATTTTCCTGGAATGAGTGAAATTTGTAGGAAGGACTTATTAGCTAGAAATATGAACCGAATGTTAAAGATGTTTCCAAAAGAATACAATGTCTTCCCTAAAACATGGTGCCTTCCTGCAGAGTAAGTATATTATTGATCAATATATACGTAATAATGTTTTCAGGTTTAAGGCAGATGCATCATTTTACCCAATTTTGTTTTGACATGTACATTTGAGTATGGAATACAATTCAAGTTTTTAGATGAAAATGAACTTAATTAAGCAACATTGTAGAGCCAGGCCAGACTCTGGTCAGACTACATGGATGTGCAGGCTGGCCTGGTTCTATAGTGGTGCAAAAGTCGTATCATTTTCAGTTTCAACAGGTTAAAAATTAATATTTATATAGCAAGACAAAACATACTTCTGATCAAAATGTCTGTACTGTTGTTTATAAGATAAAGAATATTCTGTTGTCATGACAACACCTACTTCACTGTAGACATAACAACTTCTAATACTTCTAGACATAACAGGATTTCTATATCTTACTGTCAGTTGTCATAATAAAATGAAGTAATAAATGGTTTTGATAAGGAGCTTTGTCAATTGATCAAGTAATTCTATTGTGAAAAGAATCTGAGCTATTCAGCTCTTATTATAATTGTGTTTAGAATAAGCTTACCCCATAAATTTATAAAAAAAATAAGAAATTGATTTCTGAGATAATTCTTTTATATTCATGAATGCTTGATATTTTCAAAGCAACTTTTTAATGTGGACATTGGTTTAGTCTTGCTTTTAAGTCAGAACCATTCATTGATAATGTTAGGGATTTTAATATGAACCATTAGCCTGCCAGCAGTAACTGATTCCACCATATAATGTGCCGAGTGCAGACCAACTTAAATACTTATGTATACAGGCACATCTGTGCAGTCTGGTCATAGTCTATACTGTTTGCTAGTCAGGCAGTACATATTTTGAAAATTTCCCTCAAAGTGATGAAGGGTTTTGTTCAGATTGTATGATGGACAAATCCATTTAAGATATTTAATATTGTAAGGATTAAGTGCAGGTGACGGTATAGACTGAGGTGCAACTACAGGCTTGGTTTTGTACTGAAAGTATAGGAAAATCATTATTGCCCCAAGCATTAAAATGGCTTTACTTGCCATTGTGTTCAGTCAAACAAGTCAATAAAACAGATAATCTTACACTTTAATCAAAAACTCTAATCATTCAGTCAATAGGATATATATAATAAAGAATTTCAGCAATATCATGTTTTGCATATATAATCGTGATTGTGATCTACATTCCCTTTAAAAATTTTATATGTTAGAAATAATTAAACCAGAGTGCTGTTATATTTCCAAAACTAATATGAAAACTTTAACTTTATGAATATGGAATACTGGTATATATCTGACATAACATATTGACTGACCTTACAGTTCCATTAGTATAAATTATGATTTTAAAAAGTATTTAAATTTTTAAGACCATTAAGATTGCTATCATAATCTAGACTTAGGCCTCAATTCTAAAAGTAAACCTTTGCAGCAGAGATATTTATGTGATTAATTGGTTTGAAAGTTTATTTCTGCTAACTTTATTGAATTTGACTTTTGACCAATTAAATGTTAAATTTCCTGAATGAACTTTACGAACTTTTATCTGGTAACAATCCTTTTTCAATTTTGGGAATGAAAATATAAAAGTAACATAAGGATGTACAAGCTACCTTGGTTCTATAATTGGACTCAAACCATGATCCCCAGGTAAATGAGTAGGATGCTAATTAAGGAACTGAGCCAACACATTTTTTTTAAGTGAAATAAATGCTGAAAAATACCCTTTTTTGTTTTAACTATTTTATATTTTAGTTATGGAGATTTCCAAGCATACTGTCGACAGAAGAAGAACAAAACATATATATTAAAGCCAGAGTCTGGTTGCCAAGGTCGTGGTATCTGGGTCACGAAAAATCCAAAAGATGTTAAACCACATGAGCATATGATCTGTCAACATTACATGTCTAGGGTATAACTTTATCTTATTCTGTTGAGCTTTTAAACTCTTTTAGAAAATGTGGGTCTACCAAATTGGGATTTTTTTTTAATTGTGAAATTAGGTAAATTTAGAAGAAGAAAAAATATTGTGAAATAGCCCAATCAGGATTTTTTTATTGTCATCCTGAATTATTGGAATTGAGTTTTGACAAGAAGTACATTTTCAAAATATGTGCATTCTTCTGACAACTACATCTTTTGTAGATTTTAATCCAAAATCATGGTTAGTACTGGTTGGTTCCAGGAACAAAAGTATTTCAGTAAGCTTATAGCTTCCTACACAATCAAAGGAAAATAAATTTGTATAAACTAAACTAAAATCATGGTAAAAGCCCTACTTTCCAAGTACATGCATAATTTTTGATATTTGAATTTAATCTCTTTCACTGTATAAAGATGTCTATTCAAAATCCAAGAAAACTAATTACTAGTGTAAAACAGATCTTTTGTTAAAATTCACTAATTTCATTCCTGAAACTGTTCTGGATTTGGGATAAATATACATCTTAATACCTTACGATTGAATTATGGAATATGTTAAAGAAATAACTGGAATAGAGGTTTTTTTTACAATTCTTTTTCTATACATTTGTATTTTGCAGCCTTTACTAATTGATGGTTTCAAATTTGACTTGAGGATCTATACCTTGGTGACTTCTTGTGACCCACTTAGAATATTTGTGTTCAAAGATGGTCTAGCTAGATTTGCTACCAACAAATACACAGAACCTACTCATAGCAATGTAGTAAGTGATGTATCAGAAATAATTATTATTCTTTAATGTATGGAAGGATATCTCGGCTTAATGGAAGAATTACTTGTCACTTCCCTTTGTTATTTGTGTTGGTTCTTTTTTAGTATGGTTAAGAAAGCTATCTGATATACTTGTATGCATATAATTCTTTATACTGAATAATACATTGCCTTGCTTTCCTTGAGAATCATTCGTTTTGATTAATACTCCTCCTACCATTTATATTTCCATTTTATATTTGTGTTTGGCCTCAGTTGCTTGATTATTAAATTTAATGCTGATTTTTTTTTTACCTCTAACTGAGAACTGAGGTCCATTGTCTTTGAATTAATTCATGTGAGGAAACTAATATTCTCGCTTAAGGTAGTAAGGGACCTCTACCTAGGTTTTTGCAAATGTCTGCTATAAAAATTGTTTTTTTGGTTATAAAAAATCTTATGATATTTTTTGCCTTTTATTAAAAGACTCATGTTAATGTTTATTGATTTATTTTCACAGGGACAAATGTTTACATGCATCTCACAAACTATGCTATAAATAAACATAGTGAGGATTTTATTCGTTGATGATGAAGCCGGCAGTAAGCGTAGGATTAGTACAACTAATAGATACATGGCAAAGAAAGGGTACGATGTAGATAAAATGTGGGCTGATATAGACGATGTGATAATAAAAACACTTATCTCGGCTCATTCTGTGTTAAAACATAACTACCGCACATGTTTTTCCTAATCATGTTAAAGGAAGAGTGCTTGTTTTGAAATTCTTGGATTTGATGTGATTCTAGATCGGAAACTACGGCCATACGTAATTGAGGTAAG